GTATTGAGGAAAACGTCAAAGACAAACACGCTAAAATGAATTAAGAAAAATGGATGTATTTCAGATATTTTTATCAATCGATAAATGACGCATAAAGAAACTATGACGTCTTGGTATAAAATATAAATAGGTATCATATTGCAAAAAGAGAGACGATGCCAATAACAATTAGTATAATGCAGACGATTTTTATACGAATCTGGGCTTTAACAATTATTTTGAAAATTTCTTTTTAATATTGCAAAAATAATAATAATCCGCAGAAAGATATACAGTCCGTACTTTTGTTGAGATAGAATTCTAAGGAAAGAATAAGCCAATAAAGTGCCGTTATCGAAACTACTGTAACAATTTACCGAGGCAGGGGCGTGCCTTGAAATTTTCCGCCAATGTCTTTCTTCCTCGGGTTAATAGCAAGAAAGTGACGAATCGAATCTTCAAATTCTATCTCAACAAATATCGTATAGGCTGTATTTTGTTACTAATAATATGATTTGTGTCTATTAGATGTTTTACCTATTAAATCATATACACAGTGTTTTATTAAGGCTGTATACTAAATTTTGACACAAACATCACTCGAAATGAAAAAATCCAGTTTACGAAGATACAACTCGGTATTAGTTAAGTACCGTATTTTTATTATCTCCATTTCCTAAATTTTCTCTCAACGTCTACCACGTAAATTTAAGAAAAGTATTATTATTTCAAAAATTTAAGAAATATAAATCAATTTAAACGTTATTTGGGGTAAAAATGTGAGAGAACCTAGAAATTTTTTTTCCATTTTGATCATGATTATGAAGTGTTTAAGCTCAAAAAACGTGACTAATTTTTTTCATAATTTTGACTGTTTGAAACAAAGAAACGTTTAGATCCAGATGAAACTTCACAGGGTTCTTCTGGGTATATCGAACTGTACAAGTCATGCTTAACATTGGTCATTTCGTGAATGTTTCTAATTTAGCCGTCAATTTTTTAAAAAACCATAAATTATCCTTTTTTTCCTGTTGTTTAAAATTCGCGTAAAAGATGAAAAATAAAAAAAATCCGAAAAGTTGCGGCATAGGAAATTTATTCCAGTTTTCGAAAATGCCCTTCAATTCTCTGTACGAAAATTTGTCGCCTCGATATCGATGATTGGAGACAAAAGGATCAGTTTCCATTAAAAGTCCGATATTTCGATGAAAAATGGTCGTATTGAAATTAAAAAAGAAAAGAAAATTGAAGCTGAATAAACAAATTATCTGGTCAATGCAATAGCTTAGCTGAAAATTTTGACCGAAAGATCTAAAAACTAGAATCTTAGAGCTATAAAATCCTTTTTTTTAATTCCCGATACGACCATTTTTCATCTAAATACAGCTGTCAAAAATCACGGAAAAATTGACCCTTTAATTTTTTGCATTAGTTTATATATACTAAGAGATTTTTGGTTTAATTAAAAATAGCATTACTTTAATCAATCAAAATAAAAAAATAATAGGTTTTTTAAACATGTGTTAGTTAAATTCTGCAGTTAATAAATAATACTACTTATACAAAAACTGCAAATATTATTTATTTGGTCAAATTATTAAGAATTTTATTATGAAAGTTAATATTTATTAAAAAAGTTGTAGCCCAGTTAAAAAAATATGTAAAATAAAGTTAAAATAAAAGCAACATCATTTTTCGACTTTTTATTTCAATATGTATATGGAAATTCAAATTTTCAAAATCTTGATCCATTCTAATGCAATTTTTAGTTAGGTTAGCTTTTTCGTTTACACAACGAGGAAATAACTTTTTTCTGAATAAAATCCAAATTAATAAGAATATTGTTGTCTTAGTGGTATGTAAATCAAATTAAAATATTTATTTAAATATTAAATTTATCGAATTTATTTGAATTAAGTGAATAGTCTGAAAATACAGAAAAAATATGAGTCAATAAAAATATTCTTTTTTAAAAAAGAAATTTGGTAAAGCGGGCAAATATTAGGCAAAAAATATAATTCATATTAATCTAGTCATATTGTCGACAATTTCGAGATTGTCGTTTCAAACTGTAATTTTTCCAAAAGTTTTATATTTTGTACTCGATTTTATATTATATAATTTTGTTTTATTAATATTTATTAATTCCATTTACAAGAAAACCACTTGAAATAACAAACCTAAGTAAAATGTAGAAACAATAAAATTTTTGTATCGTGGCTATTTTGTTGTGTTGTTTTTCATTTCCATATTAACATATAAATTTCTTCATCGATTATAATTCTGTTAATTCAATTGTTAACAAGTAGGGCAATGTAAAACATAGCATAAGTATAGATGGCGTTGTCGTTTTTGCAAAGAACAATATTCGGCACAGGATAATTTCGGAATTTGAACTTTAAAAATTTTCCTAATCACGTTTCCAAACATAGGAATACTATCGAGGCCCCTCACGTTAAAAATTTCAAACTTATTTCGTACGCGGGTTTCGAAAGTTTATCGTGTCCTACTGGCACTAATTTTGACCGCACCGTCGCGGCAAACAAGGTCCAACCAGCCATCTTATCTTCCCTGGAGCAAGGCTGCAGGTAAATATTTAAAGCCACTAGGTACTAACTACATCCCCTTGTATAGTCCCTACATGTAGAACGGTATATTTAATAAAATATCAAAACATGACGTCTAGCCAAAAGTGATTTTGAACTTTCTCATGAATATTTTTGAAAAGGATAATATTTGGACATTGAAATCTCAGAATATTTCTACAACGGACAATAGAAATATGAATATAACAATGTTAATGGGTAGAATTTGCTGGTCTAGAATATTAAACGTTATGTCATATTTAAAACACATTTTCATTTGCAGATTAATACCAAAAATTAAGACTGACATAATTTTTCCGCGTATAAATCGTTATCTCCATTGTTCTATTGACAAGAGATAAGATAGGTACTTGTTTATATACAACACAAAATTATCTCTTGCCAAAATGTAGGTTATAAGTTACACATATATCGGGATATTTCCGACAAATGCTTTATCTATTCTTAGTAGCTAAATTATTTGGTAGATATGGATTTGGCTGTAGTACTTACACCTACAAACTCAGATAATTCTGCAAATTAATATATTCGGCAAATAAGTTTCGATAAATCTTTTAGGAGCTCCCAAAAATGCTAGAGGAGATGTAATACTGAAGTTCACTTTAAAAAATATGATCGAAACACAAATACGAATTTTTTAATGAATAGAATTTTAGTTCTATTCTAATAATAAAGTATACCAGACAGTTTTTCCTCAAAATTTAGATCGTACCGTCAAAACTACCCTTACTATAGTTTGACTTTTTGTGGATATGGTCCTGCCGATTTTGGTGAATTTATGATTTAAATAATAACATAAATACATTATAAATAAAATAATCCTTGTGTAGATAGGCTATAGTATTATTTTGTCTGGGGAACTTTGAAAGATAAAATTAGTATTATTAGTTAGTGCACATGGTGCTTTTTTTCTCCCCAAACAAAAATTTATGAAGTACATATATTTTTCGAAATGGAATCTATTTTTATAATTCAAAATGAAATCACTTTGTATATCCGTTAAGAGCTTCAAAATAATGAGGAGCAAAATTTACGAACTAGACTGTACAACATTTTTCTGTAACTTGTAAATTTAAGTATAAATTTCGAATACAATAACGTACCTAGACTACATCTGGCTTCTTTCCTTTTAAATATTCCAGCTCAGAAAATCAATATTATCTTCACAATATTTCGTCATTTTCTCTTTGCTTTTAGGTACATTTTTAAATTAAATACATACCTAATTATTTAAATGGCAGGCAATTTTTGCGTAATATGTAGACGCTAATTAAGAAACTTAGAGGCGATTCTTTTGGGTGATATTAAGCCAAAAAGGTTTATAAACATAGGCCCACAAAGTAATAAAGATACAGGGTGTTGAAATAAAAAAAACACTTTCTCTAAAATATTTCTGAAGAAGTTTGATTTGGAATGATAAAACTTAGGCTAATGATTTATTTAATTAAAGATGAAAATATTAATTCGGCTATTTTAGAGATTCCTAAAAACACTTAAAACACCTACATAAAATACCTCTCGTTTCTAAAAAAATGCATAGGATTTATTTGAAATACAATTATAAATGGGAATTAATTATTTTGCTAATTAATACGAATAAGTTCGAAAAAAATCAATGGCGTAGAAATTTTGCATTATTTTCTCGGACTTTTCATAAGTATGTTTTATTGTATATTTAGAAAACAAACACTTTTTTTTTGTAAATAAATATTTCTAGAGCATGATGTTAATAAATGTAAAAAATGTAATAAATCGAAACTGGTTGATTTTTGGATTAAAATTAAATATCTTTTTTCTTGGATATGTATAAGGAATTAGAAGTAGAAATAAGATTTTCAAAATATTCAGTGGCGCCAAATTTCTGGGAATTTTAGGGAAATCATCTCTCGATACCTCCACCACTTGTATATATATTTATATCCGAATTGTGGATTTTTACCTTTAATTAGATACCTACATAATCATCCAAAGTATCATCATTTTGATTGAAACATATTTAAATATAATTTTTAGGTATTACTAGGTAGGTAAATGACATTTTGACAGTGTCGGCAATATAAGCTATTGTTTTCTGTCTTGATTATAATATGTACCAATTAAAACCGAATTAATTGAAAACACAAATTTTTTAAAAATTGCAAGAATTGTAAATGAACAGTCTCTAACTTGCAGGATCTCACGAGCTGCTATCAATAAATTTAAAAAATCATTAATGATCTAACAACACTTTTATAAAAAAAAATACTAAAAGACGTGCCAGCATTTTTTTTTAATTTTTTGTTATACAAAATTTATTTCAAGTTAGTGACTAGCGCTGTATAATCTTCTTGATTTAAAATCACTCAAAGAATAACCCCTGAAGATCGTCAACGTACTTAATTAACGCCCGATAATATAAAAAAAATAGTCACTCACCCTTGTTCAACTGGAATAGGTCCACCCATTTGGCGGGACATCATGCCGTGGCCGGGCTCCATGGGGCCGGACATGGGGTGGCCGGGACCGGGTCCAAAGGGCGATCCGGGGGGCATCCCGAAGCCGGGCCCCGGCCCGAAGTGCTGGAAGTGGTTGCCGGCAGGCCCAGGGCCTCCGACGAAGGGTGGGCCCGACGATCCGGGCCGGCCGAACGGGGGGCCACCCGCCGAGGGAGAGCCGAAGGGCCCCGGCCCGGGGCCGTTGTAGGGCGGGCCGGCGCTGTTGGGGGGCGGCGGAAAACCCGCGTTGCCGACATTCTGAGGGGGACCGGGCCCCGGCGTGGATGAGCCCGAGGGCGCCGGCGAGGCGGTGTACTGGGGAGTGGTGGAGCCCGGCGGCGGGCCGCCCTGGTATGGGGGCGCACCGGCCGGCGACCCCGCCCCCGCCGGCGGGCCTTGGAAAGGCGAGGGCCCCTGAAAGCCCGCCGGCGGCCCGGAGAACGAGTTGCCTGAGTTCTGAGCGAAGTTTTGGGGCTCCGAGCCGGGCGGCGGTCCCTTCCAGGTCGTGGCGGGGTCCTCCAGGGTGACTGGCAGCGTGATGGGGGGCGCTACGCGGCGGCTAAGGCCTGCAAAAGCATAAGATGTTTACCACACCCGGTTACACCCCCTGCGTCAAGCAGAATACAGTTAGGTTATGTGTACCAGTAGCAATTTCTAACCTATACCAAACATATACTACAGAAGGGGTAATTACATTTCGTTTTGCGTTGTGCTGCGCGACCTTGTCTCATAATGCCACTAACACGGGGTGAGTAATTTCAGCGACCTCATTAATAAACTTTCTTTGATCTTATCCCTGGCTGCACCACTAATTCTTACGGATTTTACTTTACATAACACAAACATTTTCGAACTTAACGACGGTTCACATAAACACTTCCTTGATCAACCTCGAACACCCGAATTTTTCATACGGTTTAATTCAACGTATTATTTCCAATTTTGTACAATTCTAAATACAACTTCTCAACAATCACATCTAGTAAACACTGTTGAAGTTAAAACCATAGCGCATGTTTGTCTGCCGCCATTATTGTATATACAAACTACAGTCAACTGTTTTGCCGGTAGGAGTTCGAAAAACGCCGCTAAAATGTTTATTACAAATTAATTTATAAACAAACCCATCCACAATATGGCTGCATCGTTTCACTATCAGTTATATAATATGAATTTTTGCAATTGCTGATGTGACAGGTATTTTTCTGAAAACAACCCGCAGTCGGGTTGGTATAGGTTAGAAAAGCTTTTCTTTGTTATTTGGCTTTGCTTGGATCGAAAAGGAATTACAGATGCCGTTAATGTAATTTTGAAATATTATTTGTGAGGTGTGAGGACCGAGAGAGAGGCAGGCGTCGTAATACACCTAATAAATTGTGCGGCGAGCTAGTGAAAAAGCATAGTAGGACGTATTTTAGATGCCCACCTTTGTCGGCTTTGCCGCAAGCCTTTTCTAGTAAGGGAGCAATGGCAACAGCGTCAACTAAATTTCTTCTTAGGCCTTCTGCAAAAATTATCTTGCGAGAAGCCACCAAGTGCTGCCATTTTCACTGCGTGAAGCCGATGATGCGAGCAGCGGCAGAGGCGTGAACTGCCGACAGCGCTGTGTTTGAACGACACATTCCACCGGTTTCAAATTCAAACACCAAACACAAACACACTGGATACCGCTACAAACTCCCGAAAACTTGCTTAAACTCTCCCGAAACCCCTTTGCTACGAACCGAGCCGCCGAACCAACAAACGAGTTATTTTTTTAAACACTCCCGTGTGTACATTTTTTTCGATTGCAAGTCTTCCATCGCGAACTCAGTCGGCGGTAGTTGACAGTGTCACCCTAAAAATCAATAAAGTTAACCACCCCTTAGCCCTTCCCCACCCTCTGCTCATTCAACAACATCACGACTATCATTACTACACTGAACCGCGTCAAATAGGGCAGCGTTTTTCGACTTCCACTGGATTATCGAGGCACTCTGGGTTTCTACGGAGAACCACCTTTGCCGGTAGCTCACTCACGCTAGGACGTCACTGTCACAGAGACAGCTTTGCCACGTCTGAAGTAAGTAGAGCAGCCGGTAGCCGTTTATCGGCATAAATACGGACCGCTGCGCTTCTACTAGCGTGACTTTACACTGTTGGTTCATTCGCATAAAAAGCAAGTTGAAGTAGAAAAGTGCGACCGACCGCACATGGGCTGACAAACAATAGAGGGGATGGTGACAATTGACAACTATACTTCCATGCACCGCACACTGCACCTTCGCTTGCAGAATGTAAAATGCTCTTTATTTTACCTCTGTCTACACAATACACATCTACTTCCTCGTTTTCTTACGAAACATTCTATAATACTTAATTCGAATAATTCAATGAATTATCTATCATAAACAAAATAATAAAAATTTGATCTATGAATTATCTAGGTATCTATAATTTATAGCTAGCACTGCTAGCAGGATTTTTTAAATTAGCCAGAATGTATGGCTTCTAGGTTTTGTCATTTTTGTACGTAATTAATTACTGTGGAGTTGTACACTCCGAATTACAGAGAAACAATTGAAATTCGTAATACCGTCTCCATCACTCATCCTACGACAGCTCAAAAAAAGAGGTTATTATAAAACAAAAGAGCAAATAACCTCCGGTTAGTTCAAGGTCGTTTTAAGTGTTAGGAGCTATTTTAATTGCGTGACCTTGCAGTCAAAGACTGAGATAGCCGTTTCGTTGTAAATAACCATATTTTATAAGCCGGCCGTAGTATTTGTTTAATTTTGAGTTCGGCTCGATAAATATGAGACCGTGTCCGACGAGTTTCGTACTTTTAACACATATATCATTCAAGGTTTACTACAATGAATCGGGTTGCCCTCAGAGAACTACCTGAGACCTTGAGACAAAGTAAATTTATTACACGCAACCAACGCTCTACTTCCCGCCGGTTTTCCTCATTTTTTTTTACGTTTCGTTTGATAATTCTGGAAAGATTTATGGTTTTACGGCGGCCATCTTCCTCAATAAAACGGCCTAAATTGTAAATATAAATGTTTACCTAGGTGCGTAGAAGAGGAGGCGAGTGTAAAAATTTTCAGATAATCGTTTAAATGGGTTATGCCAATACTACTACAGGACACAATACAGATTGTTGCATTATTGGTTGCCTAAGTCTTTATAAAATAAAAGATAATACACGTACTTGTATTACTGGTTGCCTATTGACTTCAAAATAAAACAAACAAATTCATGTGACATTGGTTGCATATGAAATTGAAAATACAAAACGCTGCACACTATACAGATTCTTGTATTACTGTTTGCCTACCTATTTCAATATAAAGGACATTGCAAAATAATCTGGTGAAACAATAAACGGACTAATATAAATATTCAAGTCAGAAAGCAACCTCGAAGTTAATTTTTTGGCAGGTTATGTATGATAAAAAGGAAATTATAACAATATTCAATTGAAACAAGTTTTTTGCAGTCCCATATCAATCAGAAATAATGCAATCAATTTCAGACTGCTCCATATTGAGGATGATACCGTCACTTTCGTCAGCTACATTAGTTTCACTTTTGTAGATTTTGGAATGACTTGAATTATCTTTCTCATTTTCCAATTCCTTATATTTTGACTTTGTCTTTTCTGAATCTTCCGAATTTCCACTTGATTTTTCATTTTCTTTCTCTTTGTTTCTTTCAACGTTACTGGATACTATAGCATTTTTAGCAGGTGTTATAATCACCGTTTCCACATTAATTATTTTATTTCGTACTTCTGTATTCTTATTTTCAGATTTCCCAAATTCTTTTTCTCTACTTTCACTTGTTTCTTCAAGTACATCTTTTTCATCATGATCATCACTTTCTAACTTCTGGCCGCTTTCACTGCTGCTCTTAACTGGTTTACTACTTTCATTCGTTGAATTAAACTTCTTTTTCGCAGCATTCTCACTTTCTTTAACACTATCTTCTTTCAAATCAATACCTTTCTGACTAGTTTTATCACTCCCAATTTCACCGCAGTTATTTTCACGTTCTGAGGTATTCTTCCGTTTCTCAGAACTATTTCTTTCTTTATCCTCGGTTTCAGAATCGCTGGAAGTTATGACAATCTCGATATTTTTAGGGCTCTCAATTATAATAGCATCGTCATTATCAGATCCTTCGGTTCTCGCTTCTTTTGCCTCACTTTTTCCTTGCTCTTGCGCCTTTTTGCTGCTCTCCAAAGCCAACTGGGATCTAATGGCTCTAGCTCTCGCTTGCAGTTCCAACAGTTCTAGAACGCTCATTAAATTCTGTTCGTCCATTTTGTCTTTGTCAGGGTCTTTGGATTTCTTAGAAGACTTACTGTGATCGGTTTTATCTTGCTTTTCTTTCTTTACTTTTTTCCTTTTGCATTCCTCTTTGATTTTAATTTTACCGTGTTTCTTATGCCGTTTCTTGTTATTTTCGTTTTCTGAAAGTGAAATAAATTAAACTCGTATTTCAGTTCAGTGAAAGCTACGTCAAAATGTTTTGAAATTATACTACATAATTACCCGAGTCAAGATCAATGACAAAGTCGTCATCGGTGATATCATCTAATGATATGACGTCAATTGGTTGTTGTTCTGCTTCGGGATCCGTAGAGCTGCTGTCTTCTTCCAGATTTTGTCCATTGAAAATATATTTCAGTCTCTTATTAGATATACCCAGCAGTTCTTCTAAGAGCATCGAATTAACTTCTTCATTGTCAAGGTTCTAATAAATTATAAATATAACCAAGATTGCATTAAAGTAACTTGAATTTGACTTACTTTTATGCATTCGGGAGCCATGCTTTTAATTTTTTTAGGTTTAATTATCTTCAGAACCTCTTTCATGAGTTTAACTCTGTCGTTGAGGTAGTAGGAAAGTTCGTGTTCGCTTTCATCCGAATCCGACTCGGATTTGCTGATGAGTTTCTTTAGTTTCTTGTCTTTCTTTGAGTGGACCTTAGTGTCTTTTTTCTTTCTCCTTAGATCCATTGTTGAGATTTTATCTGGAATTTATCACACGCAAATGTATATTAGGAGGAATGTTCTTCCTACTTTATAGGTGACTATTGAGTATATCATCGGATTTATTTTCTGTACAGGACCGTTATGAACTGTAGATTCATATCAATACAGAAAATATGCTTTATTTATTTTTTAAAACACTAAACAAATTATAGTTAGGTTAAATTCTTCTTCTTCTTCTAATATGGCAAACGGCAAACACATAGATTACCATAGATTAATAATACAAGAAGGCTCTGTATATTGTATGTTTTGTTATAAAAGTTTCAGCGCTCCTGGTGGGTGAACCGGAAACTATTTTTTATTGAGCTCTTCATATTAAAGATGATTTTTCATCGTTAGAATACTGATTATGTTGAAATAACATTAATAACATAAATGTCATACAGTCTATATGTCATGAAATGAAATATTTACAAAATTATTTATTTTTGAAAAGAAAATTGTTTTAATTTTGAACAGCGAGAATAAAGTTCGGTAAGAGTTCTTTAAAATCTTTCTGTACTGTAATACTTCACTATTATATGAACAAAATTTCGTATGAACTCAGTTTTTACAATGTCGCAAATATATATTCTCATTTTTTGAGTGGATGATATATTTGTATATACAATGTATGTCATATCTTAAACGTTATTGATAATCAGTGTCTACTGACAAAATATTTGCTTTGTATCCACTAGCAAAGACCGATCTACTATTATGAATCATATTCATTGTAGTGTGTACCAGACTAACTTCTCCATTTTTGATATTCAAGGCAATAATATGTAATCTGTTATTATTTTATTCTCATTTATTACAAAAGCATTTTATGCAGTGGCGTCTATATTCCATTTTTAATATTTCATACTTTATAAGATTATTGGCTATCTTTAAGAAAAACTGAATATGGTTCATAAGCTCAAGTCTGGCTATCTAACAGGATAGTGAAAAGGACGATATGATAGTAAAAAAATAGCAATTAAAAAAAAAACAATGTCATACTTCACATTCAGAATTTTATTTAAAAAGAGTTTAATAAAACTGCAATTCAATATAAACATAAGGAAAATACAACACTTTTGTATAAAGTCTAAAAAACACTTTTATTGACTTACTGTTACCTTATTCAATATGTATATAAAAAAAAATTACACGATCATAATGTCAGGCACTGGGCTCCACCGAGTTTAGTTTAAATTCTGGACAGTTTCGCTTGTATACTTCTGAGCTGATTCACTAGATGGTCCGTATTAGGCTTACTATACAAATTCGAGAGCAAGGCGGCCACCGTATCTTGACAAAGAGACGTAATTTTCCTCCTAAAACAAAACAGCAAGTGACGTAACAGCAAATAAAGTAATCACGAAAACCACGCTTACTTCTCGACGCTGTTGTAGCTCTCGTGACTGCTGAGGTAACAGTCTATTAAAGAGGCGGTGGCTTCAGATAGATGGAACTCGTTCTCCTCCATCTGCCAGAAGTGGTCGTTCACCGAGATCGTTATTAAGCTAAAAAAATACGTTAATATTCGAATCGGTGGGCGAAAGGTGCAACTTACTTATTGTACACCATTATCAGTTTCTCAAAGGGGACGTTTATTGATACCAAAGTTGTTGGCACGAGGTATTTGTCAGCCTTCAACTTCGCACACACGATTTCTAGCTCGTAGACGATGTAATCTAAAAAAAATTGTAGGGAACATTTTATCAGTGTTGCCAAGCACATATTACAAAAAAATCACTTTGTTACTAGAACAATTTCATTACCCCTTCCAAGAACTTAACATGAGACCAAAATAAAGGAAGTTTTGGAATAAATTGTTAAAACTAAACCAAACTATTTAACTATATTTAATTTTTGACCAAAACTATTAAAAAATCATTTTACATGGACATATTTACAGCCAAGGTTAAAATATATCATTAAAAAAATTAGCATAAATATTTCATTCTTACCCCAAAATTTTTTAATTTTGTTAATATTTACTAAAAAGTGTGGTTTACGAAAAAGTTGAAAAATCGCTAAAGATGTATGAGTTTTTAAATCAAAATTACAAATCTTAAACCTATTAAAGGTTTTTCTTATCTGAAATCTAATAAGTACAGAAAAATTTAGAATTCTATTTCACTCCCCACCATTTTGACTTCCATCACCACTGTTTTCGGTTAACCTTGCCTCATCTAGATGACCGGAGAGTTCTAAATCTCCAACCAGATGACGAAGAATCGAAATCCCCAGTTAGGTAATGGAAAGTTTTAAATCACTCTCCATACCACATTTTTTTGTCTAGCCTCGCCCACTTTTGTCTCATCCGGCCAATCAGTGACAGGGGCAGTGTAGGACTCTTTCCTTAGGTGGTGGTAGGAGCCAAAATGATGGGGGGAGGGGGGAGAAAAGGAATAGAACCCCCGATTTTCCTCTACTTTAATAACACCATGTTTACAAAGATCCATTTAGTTTTAAAGTATGAAATATTTTTAAATGTACAAATTCACGCTGTATTTTAATTTTTTTCCTAATTTTACAATTTTTTATTTTGTACTTTCAATGTTTTCTTGATTAATATCGAAAGAAGGGCAACTTGCACTTTTATACAAACAATTTTCAATATTTTCTTGTAAAACTCATTCACTCTAAGCCATTCCAAAGACCATAAAAAAATTGTAATGGCATACGAATAGGATTTTGAGGCAGTTGCATTTTCAAAAAAAAGTTCTTTTTTATGCCTGTTTAATAAAAAATATTTGAGTTTCATTTGTTTTTTATTTACTGAGACAGATTGAATAACTCCAAACACTCAATAAATCCGTTTATGGTTGGTAACACTGCATTTTACAAATTCCAAATGTCAAATATCAAACACATTAGTCAATCAACAGCCTAACAGATGGCGCTTTAAGCTTCCAACTTTAAAAATATGTGCTACAAATATCAAAAACCTGTCAACTTACCCAACGGAAAACATTGCGACGAATGCGCGTACTTCCTAGCTAGATGCTTAACTTTCGTTAACACCTGATTCACCCTGTCGTTGCCGGAACCCGAACTCTTCCTTATCTCGTCCGACAAGATCTGCTGCCATATCGACTCGATCAGGACACTGTCGGTGTAACCGGCGCAATCTATAATAGCCAGCTGGCACTCTAGAAGCTTGTACGGTTCCGCAAAGTTCTCATACAACTACGACAAAAGAAACGTATGAATAACGGAAGTCGAAGGAAGGAAACAACGCTCACCTGCGAAATTTCGAACAGCTCGGAATTGAGCATGATTATGGCCTCCTGCGCATTGGGGATCTGATTCTGCATGTTGACGATGGCGTCTAAGATCTGTTCCTGAACTTTCGCCACCTCCATCTTGTCCTCCAAGTCCCGCAGGAACATTCCTAGGTAGGGAGCGTACCCGACCTTGTCGCTCCTCATGCACATGATCGCCCTGGCGAGGTACGACAACCTGTCTTTTAGCGGAACAGCGTTTCTGAAAAAAACGTCGTGGGATGATAAAACGTGTGATTCGGAGGCGTGGCAAAGTTCCGATGTTATTCGACACACGAAAAAAGGTGCAAATAAAAGTCGGAGGGGATAAAAAATACTGATTTTTTAAATTATTTTGAAATGTACAGGGGGTTGTATTAAAGCGAGGCACTCATAAAGTTAGTTTTTTAAATGAAAGATGTTTAAATGAAGTGTAGAACATTACGAGGGCTTTTTAGCAAATAGGCAACCAGCAATACATTTTATAGATTTTATTACACACACAGTTTGTCTAAATATGAATCAATGCACAAATAGCAGACTTTCCTCCATTCTAACGCAGATTTTTTATAAAATGGAGTTAGTTTGAAACTCAAATTACCTTTTGTTGGAAAGAAATGTGTAATTTGCCGTTTTTTAACAAGCAGCATCGTAAATTACAAATTTTTTATACACCAAAAAGTTATTTGAGTTTCAAACTAGCTCCATTTTATAGAAAAATTGTGTTAGAATGGGTGAAAGTCTGTTATTAGTGCATTGATTCATATTTAGATAAACTGTGTAATAAAACCCATAAAAATGTATTACTGGCTGCCTATTTGCTGTAGAGCCCTCTTAAGAAAATAAAAAAATTTATATGCGTGCGACAAATATTGCGTGGAACGATTGAGACGTGTAAGGGCTCAAAATGTTCGTCTAGTAAGAAGTTTTCAAACGCAGAGTGGTACTTTTCAAAAATCCAAAATGGCTGTGTACGGCAAAAATGAAAAAAATTCGCAACCAATCGGGTCATTTTTTGAGGGACACCTCTTAAAAGCTGGTGTGGTCGGATGAAAAAATCCAAAATGGCGGTTAAAAAAACGATTTGGCGACTGAATTTTTAAAAATCAACCGATTTACACCAAACTTGGTATACGGGAGTATATGAGGTCGCTGATTACGAATCCGATGTCAGATTTGCAAAATTCAAGTAGGCGGATCCATGATGGCGGACCAAACTTCAGAAAATCGAATGATTAACACTCAATTTGGTATATGAGGATTTTTGGGGTCGCTCATCATGTATCTTAAGTTGGATTTGCAAAATTTAAGATGGCGGATTCAATATGGCAAAAGATTTTATCTGCCATACTAGATTTGTCATTTTTTAATGACCTCTGAAAACCCCCCATATACCAGATTTGGTGGAAATCGGTTGATTTTCCAAAATTTCGTCTGCCATCTTGAATTTGCAAATCTGACCTCGGATTCGTAATCAGCGACCTCAAAAACTCCCGTATACCAAGTTTGGTGTAAATCGGTTAATTTTTTAAAATTCAGTCACCAAATCGGTTTTTTGACCGCCATGTTGGATCCGCCATTTTAGATTTTTTCATTCAACCACACCAGCTTTTAAAAGGTGTCCCTCATCTACAATTTGAGCTAAAAAATAAAACGATTGGTTGTGAATTTTTTTTTAACTTTTTTGCCGTACACTCAGGTTTTCTCCAGCTTCCAGCTGCCATGTTGGGTCCGCCATTTTGGATTTTTGGAAAGTACCACTCTGCGTTTGAAAGCCTCTTACTAGACGAACATTTTGAGCACTTACACGTCTCGATCGTTCCACGCAATTTTTATCCAGGTCGGTGATCCGCTTGACGTGAAACATCCCATATTTATGTCACTAATTGTAAATACAACCATTTTATGTTTTAAAATAATTATTTTTGCTGGTTTATAAAACGTTACGAACTAAAAATAAATTAAAATACTTATTGATCAAATAGATTCGAAATATTATTTAAAAACATTTCAAAACTTCTAATAAAAAGTTAATAAATTTGTTGTTTTAAAGCACTGCGTTTAGTTTGCAAAGGATAGTGTCCGTTACCTCTAACATTGACCTAGTTTCCGTGGACTACATAATAACAATCCGCCTGATGTGATATGACAATCAGGCACTAGGCGAGCAAAAAAACAACCGGTAAATGTTAATTTTACACATTTTTATTGCATTGCAATGCAATTACATGAGACTCACCCGGTCCTAGAAGCGAGGTTATCCAGGATCCTAGCTGCTGCGGCGTGATTGTTGTTGCTCTCGTAGAACTTCCACAGTAGATCCATGACGGCTATATTATCGGGATGTTGCGAAGAGGTATGCTTCAAGTAGGTCTCCAACGAGGATTTTCCTATCTTTATCAGGTCGCTAGTCATGTTTTTCGATACCATCCACTCGTACAATGCCACGTGCATGATTTCGTCCGGGCATTCCAAGATCTCGTTTATGACTTGCTTCATCTAAAAAAAATGTGGAAAATAAGTATTTTTAAGATCGTTTTATATCTTAAATTACTTACGATAGGCCCAACGTGGGACTGATCCAGTCCGTTCAACAGAATAGACTGAGCGCTACTGTAGAACTGATCTTGAGGTATGCTAGCGACACGGTTTTGATTCTGGTCTGTATACAAACTATCCAACATGTTCAGTACATGCTTATAAATCTCCATTCTGCGGAAACAAACATAAAACAAATAAAAAATCTAGAAATGAGTGAGGCGCTTTGAAAAAAAAAAAAAATGACTCTTACAGCTGCCGTACTGGGTATTTTTATTGCAGGACTTAATTTTTATGTTCAGTGAGTGTAATATTACGTCTGTGTGGTCGATAATGATCAATTTGAGAATAATACATGATCAGACAAATAGAAAAAAATTGTAGATAACTGTGGATTAAATTAGAGAAGGGAAAACAATGGGGCATATTTCAGCGCATATTCTAAGCGAGATTTTAGTGAAGAGCGTCTCAATATTTTCTTACCTCTTCTGGTAGTAGCTGAACCCTTCCTGATCGGCTCCGTTGTCCTCCGAATTATAAAAATTCTCAGCTATCTTATCCGGATCGATTTTTCTGCCGCAATGATGGCAGAGCTCCGTCACTGCTTTGTAAGCTTTCAACGCGGTGAATTCCTTGCACACCTCGCACAGATTAACGTTCGGGGCGATCGTTTTGCACAGTTCCAGGGCGGAAAATATCATTTCTTCCTTTTCGTCGACGTTTTGTACCGTCCTCGAAGATTTCAGAATCTCGTTGGCCTATAGGGAAACACAAATGATTAAGATACAACAATTTCATATTCTCTAAGATTTTTTTTGCATTGCATATCCTAATTGTGTAAAAAATTTTTGTGAGAATACATGTCATTCATTCATGTCATGTTTTGTTAATTAAAGACAGTATTATTTTATAGTTTTTTTCAACTGAATTTTACAATATTAGCAGGCCGGGAATTACCTTCGAGAACGCAGCATCCTCCGTCCTGTACAGGTGCGGGCAAACCTCCCTCAATTTCGCGCTTATAGAATCCACGGAAGCGTTATCGCCCAGGTAACTGTTAACCAACGTCGTTATTAGCATGGAGCAAACGTCCTGCCTGTGGAGAAACAGTTCTTTAAATGTGGTGTTCTGTAAGACCTGTTGCTGGTTCTCCGGCAACGCGCCTATCAGTGAATGGAACTGATGCTCACAGAGGATTCTCCACAGCCCTATTATCTGGCAACAGTGGCAGACGAACGTTTTCAGGGAGTCCAACGACTGGCGCTCTTCCAGCTGCGCGTCCTGTATGGTTTGGTTCATTCGGGTGACGTTCATCGAGGTGTTGTTGTACATAGAGCTTTGGGGGTTGGCCGAGGCGGTGGTTATGTTGGAAAGCTGGGTGTTGTAGGCGAGAAAGTTGTGGAGAGCCGTGAGGTTGTTTAAGATGTATATGCAGTCTTCGCTCGTTATCGTGCTGATGTTCTAGAAACGACAAAAAAAAGGTATATATCAGCATCCTGTTCTCGGGCTAGGTTCTGTGGGAGGATTTATGATTAAAAATTTGTAAACACATTTAAGAAATTAAGCTTGACGATATAATGACTGTAGAAAAGCGATCTAATAAAAGTTAATAAGAACAATTTAGAAAAAAATGAGACTAAAAACTTACCGTTACCGTTTTCCAGTCCATACAAATCCTGTCGACGCACCTTCTGTTCCAGATGGGTCTCAAAATTCGACATAAATACAAATAAAGCCCGTTGTGCTTGGGCGAAAAAGTGAAAGGGCTAACTACATCAAAGGGAGTCTGATGTGGCGACATAGTCTGAGAAAGATTGGGACTCTGTGGGAAAACACCCTGTTGATATTGATGTGAAGCTGGAGTCGAAATGATGTTCGGAGAGAACATTGATGTACCAGAAACTGTAGAAAGAAGTAAAATTTTTAAACCGAAACATGAAAATAAAAAATACGAATGAAAAACATAATAATCACAAAAAACAAGTAAAAAAAAACAAAAACATATTTTTTTTTAGGAACGAATACTGTAAATTATAAAGAATCTTACAAATATTAGTGGCGTTAATGGGTGACAATCTCGGTTCGCCTCCAAACAAGAAGAATGCCCTTGTGGCATACTCCGAGATTTCCACATTGTCATCGCTCTCCAGAGAGGCCAGGATCAGGCACGTCGCGCAAGCCTGGTCCTCCTTCTGAATCATGAAGAAGGTCTTCAGAGCCTCCGTATCGATCCCACGGCTGTCCTTTAAAATTTGTTTAAGCAAATCGACCGGCCTGAGTTTGACGAAGATTTGTACGCCGTGCGAAGTTAGGACGACGTATTTGTGTGGGGCCTCGGCATGTTGCCTAACCACCATCGGGGGGGCTTCTTGCATGGTGGAGCTGTAGAGATGAACGTCGTGTCTCACCTAGGATTTAACAATTTGTTTGTAAAAAAACGTGGGGTATTTCGCTGACACAATTGACGAAGTGTTAAATTCACAAACTTCCAACTATCGAACAAATCAATAGACTAAAATATACACCTGTACATCAACATATTCGTATCGTTTCTTACCTCGGCCATCGCCAGAGCAGGTCCGTCCAAATTAACGGTATTATAAGCCTCCATAAGTGTCTGAGTAAAAGGGAACAGATCCGAGCTCATACACCACAGCACGTCCTTCTCGTTAACGGTGGAAATCAGTACGAGGTTCCTGTCTCTATAATTAGACATGTGAACGGCTCTGGGTCTTACAGTTACGTTCGCGGAATAACCCGGCGGCAAACGTACGTGTAGTAGGGTTAGAGTGTAAGGCCTCTGGTTCGGTTGGAGGTTCGAAAGACTGACGACGGACATGTAAAACCTGACGCCAGTTTGCGAAACTGCCACGAGGTTTATGTTTCCCGATTCGTAAGCTTCAATTGCCGATATGCTTACAATTGGCCTGAAATTTTGACTATCCAACGTCCTACAAAGAAAAACGTAACGTAAGTATATTACCTGTCAATTTTTATATAAAGTTTTTTCTATTTACAACTTACTTAACTGTATTCATTGCCTGGTTCACTAAGGAGGCCTGCGAGATTTTTGTCACTCTGGAAAAGGAATTCCCCTTTTCACCCAAATCACAAACCTCAATAGTTCCTTTTTCTGTTAGAGTATACAGTATATGTCGACTATTATCTACCGATATTTGACAAATACCATCCTCCTCGCTCAAAGCCGCATTTAAAAACGAAGGGACCAAGAACGACAATGCACTCGTCGATAAATTTACTTTCTTACATCGCTTCCCAAACCACCCACTTTCGGCCTAAAATTAAAAAAATATATCCACATTTTAATCTACTGAAATTATGCTACCTCTCACCTGATAAGAAATTTCATACAAACTGCCTTCCTTCGTACCAAGAAATAACCTGCCCTCAGAAGTGCCTGTAATGGTAGAAACCGTACTCCCGTCTGTGGGTATCGTAAACACGGGGTCCGGAATTAATTGTATTTCCTCCATAGGTCCTCCGGGACCTTCGGTGAATGTAACGCCAAGCACTATGATGTCGACGGCTGTTGTTAGAACCAACAGATATTTTATGAAAGCATGAAAAACTCCCGGTTTCGGCTTCACAAGACCTACACATACAATAGTTTCATTTATTCCATCGAAATAAGCCAAGTCGGTATTCTCTTCATAAGTCCACACATATATGTCACTGTCGACTGTAAGCCAGGCTCTATTTATTTCCGCAAATAAGCCCATCATGCAGTGACACTGAACATCTAAGAAAGAATTAAGGTATAAATTTTTATATCGACACGTAAAAAAACGTAAATATGAAAAGGATACGAGAAAAGTGATCCACAATTTCTGGTGGCAAAGGTACATTATTTACGCATTTTATTTGGGTCATATTATTCATCACATGTGACATTCCACTCAAAGTTGGATAATCCTGATCTGTAAGGCCACTCGCAGTTGATCCTGTTTGGGGGTTGATATTCATGAAATCAATAAGTCTTGGGGCATTACTATCTGTTAGTAAAGACTTATCTACGTTTCTCGCTGATATTTCCATTTTGTGAATAGGGATTTGGCTATTATCTATCATCTGATTGTACATTATGCTGGGAATCAGGTTTGGCGGCTTAACGCCTAACCTAAAAAATAACCGGTACTGCAGGGGTTATGGCTATTCAAGCAATTTATCGCTGCAATATAAATAGCTTACTTGGAAGAGAGAACAATTATTAGCAAACCTTTGTGAATTAAAGCTGTAAACAAGACGTTAACAAAACATAGCACTATGACTGTTAAATTCACTTTAAAAATTGAACTCGATTAGTTTCAAATTGACAAAAATGACACTTAAAATTTAAAACTTCGTCTTCTTCTTCTTAAATTTTATTCAGACTTCGAAAGCTTTCATGTTATGGCATCTCTGTGCCAAATTAATAAAAGATATCTGTAAATAATGAAGATATTATTTTAACTATTTAAATTAATTCCTAGAAGAACATATTAAGTATTTTACAAAGCAATTCTGGGTAAGTCAAATATTATTCCAAAAAGAACAAACCTACTTAATTATTTACGCAAGTTGAAAATTAAAAATATCCCACATACAGCTAGGTATTTATCTATCTAATTATTAGAATGAACAATCATTTTCGTCGACAGATGGATTAGCTATGATGTCGCGCACTCAAAATCATAGACCTCACAAACTAACAAAGTAACTGAAAGTAAATGTCAAATCAAACAATTTTCTTTATTACTATACGAGTAGATACCTAATAACCGATTTCTTTATATAATGGCCATCCTCTATGGCTCTCTGTTAAAAATTTAAAAATGGAAATTCAGAGACATTTGAATATCTGGATATCATTCCTTTACATTTTGTTTTATTTTTTCTATTGTCTCAACTGTAGCGCTATTAACCTCTTTTTTCAGCAACAAATGGATTATCGTAAAAAATTATTTAAAAAATTTTCATGCGTTGTTTTGATGGGCAATACGAATATAATAAAATTATTATCAATTTCTGTACTGTAATAAAAAATAATCATTTTTTTATGGAAATCAATAATTCAGGAAAATTATTAGATCGAAATTTATGAAATTGCAGATTACTTAATTTATTTTTATCATTACTGATTTATTTACTTTGCGCAGAAAACCCTGTGAGCATTTTTCTAAGAAATTAGGCGTGGTCTAAAGGAGAGCGCCCCGTGACGGCGAAAGCGAGGCGAAATAAATTTTTCATCTCTTTCGTAAATCATTGTAGTTCAAATTGGTGCAATTTAGACATCAAGAGAGCAGACACAACCACCTGACTCTCGAGTGGCTCTTCATTGCGGGCCCATACAGCTCGCGACCGAGAATTTATCCACAGCAATTTGCCAGAAGGACTTGCACAAATTGAAATGTAAAAGCTGTCGCTTCTCTCGAAACAAAAATCAATATATCAATTAACTTGGCCGCAGAAGTGAATTCGTTCGATTGTCATAACTCGGTAGGGCGTTTGTTGATAAATAATTTGGAATTTGGTCAGTGGTGTACGATTTCATTTCCGTATGAATAATTAGGTTAACAATTGCATTAATTAAACTTGTTTTACCAAGAAATTGGCCAAGTTAGACTTAATATTTATTAGGTATCACTATATTGCAACTCGATGATTGATGATTACAGTTTACTTCAAATTAAACATTTTTATTACTACTTGCTTCTTGCTTCATTTAAGAAATAGGTACAATAAAATATTTGAGTAGCTTTAGCAACAGTGCATAATTTTTTATGTTTGTACCATAGGATGAGGTGTAGTTTAAAATAAAAAATGCATTATCAAGATTATTCTATTTAAAGTTAGGTATGATTAGGTTGAACATTTTGTGCATTGGGATGAATAAAAGCGTGATGGTATGTTTTGAATTGTAGGCATTTCAAGCGTCTGTCTGTCGTCCAGTTCCAGTTCTAAATATAGACTTGGGATTTAATAAAGGTCTGTATATTAAATGTAAGTAGAACAGAACTAGACAGAAATTTCAATAGAGCTTGACATGGAATCTCGAATGCATAATTTTCATTGCACAGACTTAATACTACCAGTACGATTTGCTTAAAAGTTAAAATAAAGTACCAATTAGGTATTGTTAAAATTGTAATAATGGAATTTCGGTGAAACTGTCAACTTTTCTTCTTACCCTCGTAATCTATACTTGCTAACACAACTACAGGTGTCAACAACTTCTTAAGGAAACAGACAATAATTAGTACAGGTGCGTGAACAATTTTAATCTAATTACTTAACAAAGTGACTGTTTAGACAGTGTTTGGAGTGGATGTCTTTATTCAGTTATGTGTAGATCCACCATAGAAGACTTTAACGTCGTTGTGAGGCTCGCAACGTATTTGATATCACTGCAAATTGTTTTGGATGTGTCCAGCGGTCAAGATGTAGAAGTTCCAAATCCTTTGTTCCACTTTCCCGGAGGATCGGACCCCTTTCAAGGCGTAAGTCAACGTTTCGTCTCGTTTTTATATTTGAATATGCTGTATACGTATTGCAGAGCTGATTAAATAGCATTAAAAAACACACAGATTTTAATTGAAATGTAAATTTCTGCTGTTATAATAATTGTTGTATAGGAATAAATAAAACGGTACTTGTAGCAGGTAAAAGCTAAGAAAACCGTTAAATATTGGTCACAAAGGCGATGATGAAACCATTTATGTACTTTATAACAGATAATGGGAGTAGGTAATAATGGAAATGCGTTCTTAGATCACGATATAAAATATAAAATTAATATTGTTGACATATTTAGGTACAATAATTAATTACAGTACAGTTAAATGTAATCTACAATTTCGGTTAATCTCAGTAAGATTAAATACAGAGATAAATATAGCAATTTCTGTTAAATCCCATGTTTTTTTGCAGATTATTCTGGCTATAGACCTTCCGCTAGACAGCGGAGGTTTCGCAGATCTACATTTTTCCTTGCTCTACGAGGCTGCGTATGTGTTGCCAACAAACGAGACATCTTTCGACTACCCGCCTATAATAGCGAGCCGGAAAATTTTCTACGATATTTTTGAGGAGAAATTTAAATCGTAAGTATTGTACAGATTGAGCCAAATGAGAGACTGACAACTATAAAGCAAAAGTACTACACTTAGAACATCTCGACGAGTTTTTGAATTATTTGAGATGAACATTGGAATTTTGAGTTTATATTTGAATTAGGCACTTCTGTTTTGTGTACAATTTTTTTTTTACGTGATAGAAGAGAGCTATTATTGCAACTTCAAAGAAACTTTCTTCAGCATTCTATTTAATCTGTTTTAGATATGGCTACCCTGGGAAAGATTGCCTTTTGAGAGCAATATGTGAATCGGCTGAATTTTCTGTTCAACATACGGGGGTCTTAGGAGATCTAGTCCACATCCTTTTAATGTAAATATTAGCAACTTTATTATTATTCTTTCCTTAATCAAAATATGTTGTTTCGTTAGCAGCATATAAGTTCAAATATACAGCGTTCTAATATGAAAATGTCAACTATAAGTTTTTTTTTTAAATAATTTTAAATTTTAATATGATAATTCTGTACTTGTCACATTTTTGACAGGCCTTCCACTTCTAAAGCAGAATATTTGTTGGGCGAAGAGTACAAGGAATCGGAAGAATATGGAAGAAGAAATGGACACTGTAAGGAATACCAATATAAATGTTCTTTTAGTTTGTTAGAAAAAATAAGTCGGATTATATTGTAATATTTCTTGATAAATGTAACAAAATGATATTGTTTTCATATCAGATGCAGTTTGACTTTGAAAATGATTGATTTGATTAAATAAATGAACAGATACGATTAAATTGATTTAGAACACATATAGGGTGTAATTACAATTGTGTTAAAAAAATAAGAGTTTTACAAATTTAAAAATATTTTCTTATACAGGATGTTTGAATTCCACAAGCCAAATTTTACTTGTTAGAACTCCTTAAAGTAAAAGAAAAAGTTCCTATAAGAGCTCAGTTTTCGAGATACAGGGTGTACAAGTTTATATACCTCAAAACATTTTTTATTTAGTATAACGTTCAAATATTTACAGTTATTTCACTTATAAAACAGAATAATTACAAAGTAAAATCGTTCAGGGGCGGGCTATGAAAAATTTGGCCCCACATATTTTGAAATAGAAAATCTTATTTGGAAAAAAGCTTTATTAAATTTTGTTAATAAATATTGCTATCAGCAATTATCCTGGTATAGTTAGAAACTGTAAAACAAAACTGTGATAGACTCCATTTAATATCAAAGAACACTGTTTGACTTCATTGAAGAGAAAGAAAGAAACGTATAAAAGGCAAATATTGGCGACAGCGTTTCAAAAAGTAATTTTTTTTCTAAAAGATTTGTGTTTTATGTATAATTTTGTTCTATTAATATTAATTGAGAAAAAATCCTAACAAAATTTGGAAATAGTAAGATCCATCAAGTCACGTGACTATTCTCATCTCAATTATATCTAGGATCCTTATCTTTCTCACTAAATTCGACCCAACCTCTACTAAAGTTATGCATTTCTATAGAAAGTTATATAAATACCAAATTAAATGCATATAAATATATTTATTACTTTATGCTAAATATAAGTATTTATACAGGGTCGGAAAGTCCCCATGGTTCATCGGCCATTACGTGAGAGCGATAAAGAAAGTCATAGAAATCCGTGCGATAGAGAGAGATGGCTATAACGAAGGCGTCTAATAGTCACCGCCCATTTCGCCCTTCCACAAATAAAATCCACTTATTATTTGTGGAAGGGCGAAATGGGCGGTGACTATTAGACGCCTTCATTATAGCCATCTTCCTCTATCGCACGGATTTCTATGACTTACTTTATCGCGCTCACGTAACGGCCGATGAACCATGGGGACTTTCCGACCCTGTATATCTGCTTCCCGTAGAAATAAATTTGCGGAACTTAGTAACCTTATCTCAGAAGATGGCAGACAAACGAGAGAGGGGAAAATTCGAGACTATGATGACGCAATGACGTTACGTAATGGAAATGGTCGATTTAGTGTCAAAGAATAGTATGAAAATGATATTAAATCAATACAGGGTGATTCACAAATGGCGACCGAAAATGAAACCTCGTATTCTTTGGTGAATTATTAAAAAAAGTTTTTTTAATATCTCTTCGTTCAAAAGATATAAAATGGCATGTATAAAGTAAAACACTGGTGCGATCAAGTCTGTTACTGATTTTATCAGAGTTGCCATGAAAAACAAGATAATATCAGTGTTCGTACTTCGTATTTATTATTGACATAAATCAATTGTCATACAAAATCGTACTGCAAATTTTGAATCTCTTTCCCAATTGATTTTTTTTTAGATAAATGTAAATTTGCACTAAAATAATTAAAACATGACAGTAATAAATATGTTTTCTACAGCAATATTACCCTGCACGGCTTAGAATTTAAACATAGAATTATTTTCTTGAAAAGTAGGTTCGGCCTTACAAAAATAACTTCAGATGAGTTTTCAGCACCCTCGAAAACAAGGGGGCCAGCAAAAGTTTATGAATTTTTGAAAGTTTTATGCTATATTAAATAATTATTACCCCCATCATCATCCGACACTAAGTGACGATAAAAATCTATTATTGCCTAATCCGTAGCCGCCCAACCCCTCAGCCGCCTTAACAAAAAGGACATTACGACTTGGTTTATTACAGAACGGAAGGCAGTTTTATCAGACGCGGAACCAGGGGCGGGATAGGGTAGGCCCGTCTCTCTCGCCGTACGTGTGAAGGGTGCCAGGAATGCACATGACCGAGTGCCGGGATCGGGGATGATATCCGGTGTCGGCCAAAACGGCTGCGACACGGAAAACCACTAAAAACGCCGGCCGCCCTTAAGATGAGGACGAATAACATCTGAAATTACTTTATTGTTTTTAATTGATTGCCTTTTTCATGTAGAATTGTAGATTATGAGAAGGTATGAGCGGGACATTCTAAGGGGGCGGTTTTGGTGGGCTCTTAAAACTCCGATGTACGGGGTGACCGAGGAATAAACCACAAAACAACAGTTCCGGTGGCATTATCGTCATTCTCCTGTGTCTTAAATACCCCCGTTTGCCACTCTGCCTCTGTACTTAATAGCAAATAATTAATCTATAAAACTGAATGCGTACTTTTCCTTTTCGCCACACAGCATCTTTTTTTTTCGTCCTAGTTCTGAATAGACTTCACTTTTCTTTAAGCTTATAATGTTTTAGTTAGATTAATTAGTTAACACTTTAATATGTTAGTGTCCTGTTCACTGCCCTTTTTGCTTTCTATGTAGCACCATTAGAGCTACAAACTGGACTAATTTCTGAAGGAATCTAAGTTCGAGAGCAGAAATTCGTGAAAATACAACAATTTGTAAATTATAGTAAAAACATTGGTTTGAAATACGCGTAAATATATAACTAAAACGTATAGGACAAGCTTACATATAAACGTTTTGATTGACAATATGTTATAGAGCTCATGATTATGCAATTGGCTAGTCACTCCTTTCTTGGTTAATAAACTGCAGTTTAAGTGGGTTGACGATCGTACGCAGGCTTCGCTGGCTCCGGCAAATCTTCGACATGGATTAAAAAGGTAGGGAAAATTTAAATTTGTGTCGTCTTCGCTCGGGCTGCTGTGACTGTCGTCCTGATCGTCTACGAATGCGGTAAGCTGCCTCTGGTGAACGTAGAGCTGTTCGCTTGGTGAAGTCAAAAGTTTTAAAGGTGGGTGATATTTCTCTTAACCATTCATGGTGATTAGACTGTTAATTCTGGTCCTATGCGTATTGTGGTGTCTATTGTGGTTACATTAAGTTAAGAATTCAATGAATTCAATGAAAAATTTCTGAATTTCAACGCCACTGGGTGTTTTGGGAATTTAATTAGTGCATTCTATTTAATGAAAAAAGAACTTTTCCTTTTTATCCGGGGATTGATCCATTTGCGAGTTATTTTCGATCAATTTAAAAAAAACTGTACAAATCGGCAGTAACTCGTTTAATAAAATATTAATAGAATGTTTTTCTTATAAATACGATTTTTTATACAATATTATCATCAGAAATCCGAAAGAAAATCGTTGGTTTAAAGATGTTTTAAGTCTTAAAAATATTTAATATAAATGGCTAGATTTTTGTTTGCGACAGCAATAGCTTTAGTGTTATTAGATTTAATTATGTGGTAAATTTCATCAATATTCATCAAACATCTTCATCAAAGGTATTTGTGAAAGTGTACTTTTCAAAAATTTTAAAATCCTGTATCTTGAAATCTCAATCTTTTCAGAGGACATGATCTTATATGAACTTTTCTCTTTAAAATCCAAAATCCTAAAATTCGCTTCCAGGATTTACGTCGCACCCTGTATATGTATAATCCAAGTGTGATTAGAACAAAACAGTTCAGTCGGTGGATTCTTCTAATTAAATTTAATTAAGTAAAATATAAGGAGTTTAAGCATCTCTAGATGAATTAAGAACATTTTTTGCTTTGCTGTACCAGAATTTGTCACAAATTATCCATTAAAGTCTGAAACAAATATATTTTCTCAAAGGAGAAAGAAAATTTGCTTTAAAAGAATGGTTTTTGTAAAAATAATTATAATTTTGTAGGCATCATTTCATTTAACCCAAAAAACTGGTATCTATGTAAATTTTATTGGTGTGTTTATTCACATTTGGTGACGGTATTGACAACTTTCAAAACTTACATTAATGTTCGTTTCCGTTCAGGACTGTGTTCCACAGGTGTAATGATTCGTAACAAAACGTGATGATTCGTTTTTAATGTTTTTATACCACAAAACGTCATTCTTAGCTTCGGCCAATCAATAGAACATTAAATCAATGATTTTGTGACAAAAATACTAGTAGCAAACGGACTGTGACATCATATAAAAGACAATGTGTAGATATATGCTTATATGTTTCCTACTCCAGTTTATCATTAATTAATTTTTTTATAAATATTGTTATGCAAAAAACGTATTGTTTTTAAATTTTTTGCTTATAAAACCTAAACTAACGAAGCAATCTGAGTGTTATAATGAGACAATTAGTAGAGAATCAAAATACGAATAAAACGAGAGGTCGATCGATTCATTTAATTTTTTGGTTTTTAAAAAATAACGGAGTTATGGCTAATTTTTCACCTATTTCGCATCATAGAAAATTAGAATATATATTTTGTGTTATACTTCTATGTACTTTTAAAATCCGGCTAAAAAATTATAATCGGGTCACCAGAAATTTTGTAAAATAGTGCATCAAAAAAATTCAAATTGCAATTGTGCCAAAACTAATGGTCCGACAGCGCCTGCTTTGTGCACACATAAAGTACATATAATTCACTACTTTTGTGCACACAGTCAGCTCTACTTCAGCTTAAAAAAAATATATTATTTTATAAATAATTTTCTGATTTTTCCGGTTTTCTTCGTTTCTAATTAGCTGATTGGATCAATCGACCCCTCGTTTTCTTCGTATTTCGATTCTCTAGAAATTATCTCGTTATAGCATTTAGTTTAGAAAATAATCCCTGATTGATCCTTTTGCCCCAAGAGTTTGTTCCATTAATTTTTGCAACAGACAACAAAATATCAAAATAAATAGAGAAAAAAGTAAAATTATGCTACAAATAAGTACCTCCAGAGACAATATAAGACGTAGAAAAAACCAGGTCTATGCTGACCTTATTAAGCATCATAATCTCACCAAAATAGAGGTCATATCCGACGCAGCATTATAAATGCTAATCCGCGGTCTGTCCTTAGCCC